TCTTTTATTTTGGTCCTGGGGATTGAGCCCTGGGCACTTTACCACCAGCCTCACCCCCAAGCCTTTCTGATTTGGGGCAGAGTCTCACTAGGGGTATTGCTCAATTGCTGAGGCTGCCTGCGTCTGCAGTCCTTCTGCCTCTGCTGCTGATGGCTGGGGTTCCCGCGGGCATGTGCCACCTTGCCCGGCTATCTTTGTCTCTCTGAGCTCAGACCTCCTGAGGCACGGGGTCACCTGCCAGAGCTGGGGGGACGGGGAGTGGGTGTGGTCCTGCTGAAGTCTGGTGGTCCCCGGCGTCCCTCGGTGGACCTGGGGAGCCTGGGGGTGCGGAGGGGCTGCCCCAGGAGGCAGCTGGCTCTGGGGCTCGAGGCCGGCAGCGTCTGTTCTCCCAGGTGCTGTCCTGGGCTCCAGACTGACAGGGCAGCAGAGGGGAGGAAGCCGGGAACTTGGGAGTGACCGAGGCAGATGGAGGAGGCCGGAGCCCTGTGGGAAACACAGCAGGTGGCTGCCGTGCGGAGCCATGGGGCAGCGGAGCCACTGCAGGCAGGGCACCGAGCAGCTCTGGGGGCTTTGGACCAGGAGGGTGGGTGGGCACAGTGCCCCTTGGAGAAGCCTCTCTGGTCACTCACCTGGCCCCGCTGGCCTGCACTCCTCCCCTTGGCCAGGTGCTCTCTGGTCAGGACTCTGCAGCTCTCCTGTCTGGAGCAGGTGGAGGGGTACCATGTCCCCACAAACTCAGCACCAAACACCTGGCTCCTCAGCTCCCAGCCCCGCGGGCCAGAAGCCCAGGCAGGGGTGAGCTCGGGTCTCTGCCTGGTCTCACAAGGCTCACCACGCGGCGGTCACTGGGCTGGCCTCTTCTTCCCCGGGGCTCTGGGGAGAAGCTGTTCCCAAATTCAGATTGTCAGCAGAGCCCTGTCACCTGTCCCCATGGGTCTGAGGACCCCACTTCCTGGCTGGCTGTCAGGGCGCCTCTGTTCCTGGAATTCTCCTGATGTCTTCTCCGGGGGCTCCTCCGCCTCCAGAGTCACCAGGGAGGGTCCTGCCCAGGGTGCTCTCTCTGCCGCTCTTTGGCACCGGGGTCCCACCATGTTGCCCAGGCTGGCCGTGAACCCCTGGCTCTGCCTGTCGCTCAAATCGCAGGGACTCCAGAGTGAGTGGTCCCCGACTTCTCCTTCTGCCACCAGCCAGAGAAGACAAGTCTTTATTTTTAAAAATCGCCATCTAAACTGTGTGTATGTGTCCCGGTCCTCTGAGGGGCAGGCGGTGGAGTCCAGCTGATCACTCGGGTGGTGTGTTTCTGGGGCCAGGAGGCTCCCCACGGCCCCGCGCTCCCCACGGCCCCGCGCTCCCCATGGCCCTGGGCTCCCCACGGCCCTGCGCTCCCCACGGCCCTGTGCTCCCCACGGCCCTCTGTGCGGTCAGGGCTGCGCCGTGCGGTCATCGACCTCCTGCACAACTCCTGACTGCCCAGCTATGTCCTGTGACCCTCGGCTCCCAACTGGCCTCCCCTCTGAGCCCCCTGGGCTCTGGCCCCGTTCCACCCCTTACTTCTAAACTGGGGTGCGGGTAGGTCCACCCCCTTTTAGTGGACTCACCGTCCACCCGTCCACTGTCCCATCGTTTTCGCCCAGGGAGGCGCCAGTCGCTGGAGTGACGGGTCCCACCCTGCTCTGGGGATGGCCCAGGCGAGTCTCGGGGTCCTTCTCACCATCCTGCCTGCCGCTGTCGGCCACTGTCCCCCAGACGTGCACGGTGGCTTCATTGAAGCCTCCTTTCCAGAGCTGAGCCTGCTTGGGCTTCTGGGGTCTGGGCTTGGGGCTCCGCCTGGCCCACTAGCTGGCCACAGGACCCTGGACCAGTCACACCTTTCCCTGGGCCTCGGTTTCCCTACGTGTACACTGGGAGATGGGACTTTGCAAGCTGAGAATCACCCAGGGCAGCTTTTAGAAAATACCAGTGGCCCAGGCTTCATGGTCCAGGGCAGGGCCCAGACAGGGGCTCATCACCGTCTCCCCAAGTGACAGGGCCATGGCGGGAGCAAAACCCAGGCCGGAGCCTCCGTGAGGCAGCAGGGCTCAGCCCTGGCTGCACCTGAGGGTCCCTGGGAGGTTCTCCCCTAAGGACTTGGACCAGGGCCCCTCTCCAGGGCCCCCCTAAGTTGCCAGAGGTGGGGTCCTGGTCCCTGCAGCTCCCACAAGATCCCAGGTGGATGACGATCCCTGCTTCCTGTCACAGGGTGGGCAGGGATAAGAAGATTCCAGGTGAAGGAGAAGGGGGAGAGGGAGGGTGGAACGTTCTGGGTCAGCCCCCAGACCTTCCTGGGCCCTGGTCTTCCCCGGGAGTCCCAAAGGGTCCAGAGGCCTGGGTTACAGCCTTTGAGCCTGTAGATGCCTGTTTCTGGCTCTTGGACCAGAGGTGGATCGCGGCCCACTTCCAAGGGCTGGGGTTGCAGACGATCTTGCCCCTGGGCGTCTCCAAGGTGTCCCAAACTGCCACCAACCAGAAACTCTGGGAAGCCCCCGGGGCCAGGCAGAGCGGCCTCATCAATCCTCGAATCCTCCAGCCACAGCCTGGGGGCCTCCTAACTCCTCAGGATCTCAGCCTCTGGCTCTCAGCTTGACCCTGGAAGCCAGGCCCAGCCCTGTCCACACTGGGCCACCCGGCCACCGCTCATTCTGCACCATTTCCTTCCAAACAAAAGGCTTCCCCTTGGAGCAGATTACAGTGTGGTGGCAGCCCGGGGCAGGCAGGGCCGGATTTCTGCCTTGGCCACTCCCGGAGGTGGGAAGGGGGCCAGAGGACAGGGCTGGGCCGGGCTGAGGGCCGGTGGCTCCTGGCCTCCTGGGGGGAGTCCAGGCCAGGCAGCTTGGGCTCTCTGTCCAGGGAACCTGAGGGTCAGGAGTTTCCTTTCTTTCTAGGAATAAAACAGCCCTGCAGGTGAGCTGGCCCTGACCTGACCCCGACCCTGAGCGGCAGGCCCTGTAGGTGCCCCCAGGAGCACCTCTCCAGGTTCGCCCTGAGTGCCCGGGCCTGGCCAATGCTCAGGAAGTGTTGGAAGATGGACAGAAGAAACCCACAGAGCACTGCAAAGCCCGAAGGGCATGCCAGACGCTGGCGGGCCTGGAAATGACCCATCCCCGGCCCGAAGGGCATACTCCATCAGGATCCTACGTGCTCTCTCCAGGGGAAGTCAAGTCTGCAGGGACCCCGCTGAGCAGCAGGAGTGCTCTGTGGTACCGATGAGCAATGAAGGCACAGAGAGGTCAAGGCCCGGCAAGGTCACACAGCCCTAGGACCGAGCCCAGCTGGCTGCCTGCACTGTGTGCCTACGGAGAAACAGGGGCCGAACACCGGCTGCTCAGCTGGGTCACACCAGGAAGAGAAGTCCACCTGGGGACACTGTGGTGGCCCCGGCCTGGGGGCAAGAAGGCTGAGGACGGGGCAGGGGGACAAGGGGTCCCCGAGGAATCTTTAGGGAAGCAGCAGACTCCACAGTGAGGAAGATGCCAAGCCCCAGGTCTAGGGCCCCTCTTCTCACACCCAGGCTCAGTGTCCCCAAAGTGTCACCGTCTCATCTCCATCTCCGWGGGGCAAGAGGCAGGAGCATCACAAGTTCAGAGCCAGCCTCAGCCGCCTAGTGAGGGACTGAGTATGTGGCTCAGTGGGCGAGCACCCACCCTGTGTTCCCTCCCTGGTGTCAGAAAATACTGCGTTCCTGGGGCTGGGGCTGGGCTCCGCGGTGGAGCCAGCACCCGCGAGGCCCTGGGTTCCATCCTCAGCAGCGCATAGAAATAAATCCATGAGGTAAAGGCGTGTGTCCAGCTCCAACTAAGAAAGCCACCTTCCTGTAGTCCCAGGAACGATGCTATTTATGACTCTAGTCTGGGACGTGTCACAGAGGTTTGGGGTCGGGGAGGCTCGGACCCAGGGACAGGACCGGAGTCACCGTCAGACCAGGGAGACCGGGCCACGTGGCGCGCACAGCTGTGGCTACAGCTGGCTGGACATCTGGTCCCTCTCTGCCACGCATTCTTCTTGGCCATCCATGTGGATGTGGGGGAGGTCCAACAAGGGGCCAGGCCTTGCCCTGGCCACGGAGGAGCCTGTGACCCACCAGACCATCTGCAGCCCCAGGAAACCAGGGTGAGGGGGCAGGCAGCCAGCCTGTGGGTCCCTCCACGGCCTGCCAGGCGCATAGCTCAGGGCTGGGAGCCCCAGCAGCACTGTGGTCCTCAGAGGGCTCTACCTGCCCCTGCCTCGCCGGCTCACCCCACTCCCTACCACTTTTCCACTCCACAGTCCAGCCACCTTCCACCCCTCAGCAGGCCAGCCTGTTCTCACCCCAGGACATTTGCACTTGCTGCTTCTTCCACGTGGAGCATGTAACTCTAGACCCCTCTGTCCACGGTGCCTCCTGCTGGTCATCACAGCTTCCGCCAGGGAGAGGCCTTCCTGCTGCCCGTGGAGCCCTGGGCAGGTCAGGGTCTACCTCACCTCCAGCTGCACTTTCTTTGCAGCTACGCGTTGCCAGCTCTAGGGGTCTGGCCAACTTATCTGCTACGGTCCTTTTGTCCGTCTCCCTGTGAGGGAGTGACAGAAGCCTGCACAGGGCCCTTCTGGGTGTCCCGCCTCACTGCCTCCCTGCGCCAAGCAGAGCCCCTGACACTTGGCTGGTGCCAAACACACACAAAACCACAAAAAAGTTAGTCTGAGTGGACCAACGGGATGCGGGGGTGCACCCGCCGCAGATGGTCCTCCTGGGTGGGGGCACCACAGAGAGGGAGCTCTGTCCTGGCTCCGGATGTCGGGTGAGGCCCGGGGAGAGGAGAGGAGGCTGCACACAGCTCACCAGCCCGGCCTCCCTTCCCTGGGGCAGAGCTAACTTCTCCGGGCCCCTGGGTGCTGGGCAGGAACCTGGGCTTCGGGGGAGAACCCTGTGAGCAGGGCAGGGAGGGAGCCCACTGTGAAGCCCCCTCCCCCCTCCCCCCCTCCCCCAGCATCCGGGAAAGTCCTGGCCTCTCTTCCCGGGAGACCCTCACTGGGGACGACGGGCCTCTGAAGGCCTGGGGCCCTGGCAGCGGGAGGGGCGGACGAGCCCGGGCCTGCGTCTGCCCGTCCCAACGGTCCCAGCTGGCCTGTGGGTGGTGCGGTCCGACGGGTCGGGCGAGTGCCGGGCGTGGGCGGTGAGCGTGCCAGCGACACGCCCGCCCCCAACACAGGAGGCCCTCCTGGGGGACCTGGCCTCCCACCCTGTCTGCAGTCCATCAGCGCTGACCCCGTGAGGCCAGCCCAGGAGACGTGGARACCCGCACCTCTCCAGGACCAGGGCGGGCGGGCGCGGGCACCCGAGCTGGCTCCCAGGGGTGCCACCCTTGGGGTGGAGGAGGGAGCGCTCTGGGCTGGAAAGGCACAGCCCGGAGGCCAGGGCTTGGGTGAGATGGTGGATGAGGCTGGAGAGAAGCCTCCAGGGCGGAGCAGCGAGTTGGGGGGGTCACTAAGGAGGAGGAGCCCCCAGACCCTAGAGTCTGGCTCTGGCCACCGGCTTCATTACCTGAACCTCGGTTCCCCAAGCTGTCGAGTGGAGATCACCGTCTGCTTCCCGCAGGTCTTCAGCACGTAGTAGGTGCTCACTCATCAGCCCAGGGCCAGGAGCTGGGGAGGCTGAGGGCAGACCCAGCCCAGGACTCTTCCTAAGTTCCACTGGAAGGCTGGCGGGCGGTGGCTCCGCGAAGGTGTCAAAGGCTGGCTCTAGCTAATGAGAGAAGGACTAATGGGGTCCCCACCTGGGGACATTCACACTTCACCAGTGGCAGCCTGAGAAGTCAGTCCTCGCGGAGCCTGGGGTGGTGTAGCAGGCAGATGGATGGGCACAAGGGACTTGCTGAGAGGCCCTGGGGGCATCTGTTGGCGTTGGACACAGAGGAAGGAGGGGATTCAAGTCCCTGAGCAAATTTCCTTGGGGACCCTCTGCCCTGGGGACTCTTTGTTGTCCGCGAGGGACAGCATTAGCAGATGTGCCAGGAGGTCTGTGGCTGTGCCCCAGAGGCCCGCGTTCACTGTCCACGTGGTCTGTCCCCGAGGCTTGTCCTAGAGTAGGGTCTGGACGGGATCGCCCAGGCTGTGTCTCGGCACCTTGGACCTTTCAGAGGTTGGTTAATGTGACCTTCAGGCCGACCTTGACCCCAAGACTGTTCTGCAGGGAAGCATCATGGGAACACAGCCCCACGCGCGTTTACAGGCCGCCGTGGTCCAGGCTGAGCAGCCGCAGAGCTAAAGGTCTTTGCTCCCCGGCTCCTTACAGAAAAAGACGGCTGACCCTTAATTTCACTGCACTAGAAGGAAGAAGGAAAAACATGTGTTTTTAACATAAATTTATATGAAAATGGTTTCCCCCGTTTTTGAGGGGAGGGAGGCTGGGGTGGAACCCAGGGGCGTGTTAAGCACATATTAAACCACTGAGCCACGGTCCAGCCCTAAAGTGGACTCTGAGCACCGCAGAGAAAGCCAGAAGGTTGTCTGAATGGGAGGAAGCTGCAAAAATAAACAGAGCCAGAGCAGACCATTGTTCCAGTCCTATCTGGAGGCCGCTGCCTGACCAGCCCCTGCACCAGCCCCTGGACCAGCCCCTCGACCAGCCCCTGGACAGAGCCCCGTGGCTCTCCCTGGAGAGGAGACAGTCGGGTTCCCCGTCACTTGACAGCGATCAACGTAGCCCCTGCCACGTGCCAACCGTCCCCTCTACGTGCCAACCGTCCCCTCCTTAGATCTGATCCTTAGATCTATGTGCCAACCGTCCCCTCCTTAGATCTGATTATATTTTATTCTGCACAACATTTAAAAATTTGTTTAAAAAAAAAGATTCTGATGATTTAAAAAGAAAAAAAAAGTTGAATCCAACCGGAATAAGGGAAAATCTGTGAAAATCAGGAAAAGTGCTTGGTTCTCACCTGTGCTGGCCCCTGAGCTGCCACATGACCTTGAGTGGACCAGGCCCCTCCTCTGGACCTGCTCCTTCCACATCGTGTTTCTTCAACTCGCCTGGTCACGGTCACCTGGGCTCCGCCCGCCACTTCCCCAGAGAGGGGGGCTCAGTGAGGTGGGGGCCATGCGTGCATCTCTACCAGGCGCCCTCTCGCCCTCCCCAGGGAGCACCTTGGCTGTGGACACTGTGGTCCCTTCTCTCACCTCTCCAGCTTCCCTGTCTGTCTGCAGCTCCTGCCCACGGCTCCTGCCCACGGCTCCTGCCCACGGCTCCTGCCCACGGCCCCCTGCCCACAGCTCCTGCCCACGGCCTCCTGCCCACAGCTCTTGCCCACGGCCTCCTGCCCACAGCCCCCTGCCCACGGCTCCTGCCCACGGCTCCTGCCCACGGCTCCTGCCCATGGCCTCCTGCCTACAGCCTCCTGCCCACGGCTCCTGCCCACGGCCTCCTGCCCACGGCTCCTGCCC